AACTTTTCTTTAAATAAAAAAAATCTGTAATTACATAACAGTACTAAATATCACTAATGTTTATAAAGATTGAAGCGCTATTCGCTATTAAATAAACATTTATTTTTAAAGTAATACATTTAATAAATATCGTTAAAATTATTAAACATTAATTAAATAAATTTTTAATGATAATTATTAATAAACTATAATAAACCCTAATTATAATAAATAACTTATATAGAGGTGGAAAACCCTCAATATTTACTATTATTATTATTTTACTATACTTTTGTTCACATAAACAATAAAATATATGGATAATTATATTAAAATTTACATATATCTGTAAATATGAAAAGTACAGTTAGTAATCGACTTAAAAAATCTTTATATGTGTGACTTTGTGGATACAATAGGTGCATTTCTCACATACAATTCTTCGTTTAACAAGCGAATTACTAATAGATCAAAGAATATCACTAATGGTGGTTTGAACATTTAAATTTTTTTTTAATTGCAAACGTATATTGCAAAAAAAAACTTTTCTTACGTTTACATCGTAAAGAAATACATAAGATGGTTAACTTTAGACGTACATAATGAGACTTTCGCTTATAATACGATTATTTTTGGGAATACTACAAGTCATTTATATAAATTTATAAATTAGCCAATATTATGCATCAATTGTTACTTTATCTAAGAGATTAAAAAGTTATACAAGAGCTAAACAGTTATTTTACGTAGAATGTAAAAAAAAAAATTAAAAATGAAAAATGTATTTTTTGTTATTGAAAAAATGGCGAAGGCAAAAAAGAAATTTATTTAAAATGCAAAAGAATTCATTAAGCGAAAAAATGAAACTGTAATAACATTTAATGTAGCACAATAAATATCATTGTCGAAAGAAGAAGAAGTCGTTAAACTCATTGTACAAAGTCAATCATAAAATATGACAAGATTATATATATCCTAGTCATGTAATACGACAAATACCAAGAAAAATGCTTATAAAATCTACCACAATATCTCAATAAAAACAAAAAAAAAACTAAACACAAAAAAGATCAAAAACTAAAGGTTAAAAAATCTATTTTTATACATATAACTAATGTTCAAATAATTTATATTTAATTTATTCGAAATTTTAATAATAGCTTTAAAAGAATATTACACAAAGAAAAGCATAATTAATTATTAATTATCAATTAACGAAGAAGCTTATAAATTATAAATTGTATTTAAATAAATAAAGGTAATTTTATAACTTTTTAAATATACGAGTGTTCTTCTGGATATTAACTACTTTAATAGTCGATCCATGGCGATATGTGAACTATTCGCCTAATTGATTCATTGTTGTCATATTTTGTACTCTACAATAAAATAAAAAATAAAATTTTTGCATAATTTTAACACAAAAAAATTCTTTTAAGCAATGATTTTATATGTTTAGTTTAAATATAATGAAACCCTACATAAGCCTTTATTTATATAAAAGTTATAATTCTTCGATTTCCACACAAACAAAATAACATTTATAATGCAAATATCTGGAATTACAATCCAAATAAACATATTTTAATATTAGATTTCAGATTTAGAAATCTAATTATATTTGTATCAAATGCTTTTTAAACAATCATAAGCGAAGATTTCCTTATAGTCAAAACACGTTCTGGGCTATATGCATTCGTGTGCAAGTCTAAAATAAATCAAATTTTGAAGGGTCAAACGTACAATAAAGTTAGCTTGGCTTTGTTATAATATTACGTAGCTCAAAGAGACGGGGCCTTTATCTTAGTTGTGTGCAGGTACCACGGTTATTGTGTTATTCAATTATGTTCAAACAATCCCCATACCTCCCCATGCGTTTCTAGGTAAACTTTATATTTTTTATAAATCAAAAATGAAGAATTAGTTTTTGAATGACTGCGTTTAGTAACTTTCAGACGAATGCCAATTGTTTATATTATTTCTTTTTACAAATAACGCATGAAAGAGAAAATAATTTATTTCACATTTAATTTATAATTATTATACAATTAATATTACAGTAAACAATTGTTTTAAACAAAAAATTATTCTAAATTGAAAATTTTTTTTAATTAAAAAATTTAATTAAAACTCTCTCTCTCTCTCTCTCTCTCTCTCTCTCTCTATTGCGTGCATGTGCGTTAACATTAGAAAATGCTGATTTTTATGTTTAATATTATTAAAATATTTTATCCTCAAATAATATTTTACATCTACAATAAATATATCCTTAATACCAAATAACTAAAATATTACTTTATTATAAAAAAATAATGTAGTATCTTTATGTTATCTTGATTATTCACAATTATTCAATGAAGACAATTGTTTTCAGCTTATAATTACATTCAATTGCATTTGCATAAAATAAAATAAATCGAGCACCGTTTTATACCATTCTTTCACCGGTCCTCCTTTATTTATTGTTCATTTATTGTAATAAAGAAACTATTGATAAATAACGCTCTTTATAAACCAACTCTGATATAATAATTTAATAATTAATACTGCATTTAATAAATTTACTAGATTGCAAAGATTGCAAACGATTGAATACATTATTGGTTAAATTAAAATTTATAACACATAATAATTGAATATAAGAATTATTGTGACCGAAGAAGAAACTCTTTATTGACATCGATCGTTAAACAAATTTCAAAAATATATTCCAAAACATTTCAAATGGAGCAAAAGTATTCAACAAAAGATGAATTCGGATATAAAGAAAAACGAATATCGATATCTTATTTGATGATACAACAATCTAAAAATTAAAAATGCTCTTAAATTTTAAATAAACAGTACAAGCTTTAATGTTCAAGATTATCTATTCTCTTTTTAATCATACGCATAAATTTCTTATTTCTCATTGAGTGCAACAGAATAAAAAAATATCAGTATTTAAGCCTCCATTTGGGACGTTTCTCCTTAGCTTATGGACTTGCAAGAAAACATTTTAATTATACATTACAAGTATCTGAAATATTCAACGATCTTATTTAGATGACCTTTGCTGCCAATAAGCCTACAATATAGTAATCAATTATGATAATGACATAAATAAAACGTATTATTACCTAGGGGAAAAAAGTTGATGACTAGAGCAGCTATGAAACCATGTGTAACGAATAACATCAATTGCCGCGCGTCAATATGATCAAACTGAAACGATCTGCAATTTTGGATTATTCGCGAAATTCGTGCTGTGCTAATTATCTCGTCGGGACAAACGAAGGATGTTAACGAAGCGGACAATGAATCGTCATGCATCGTTAAATACTCAACGACCAAATAATTAGCGATGAGCCTCGGTTGTTTTCGCGCGTTACTACACAGATTTTGTCTGCTCACATGCATATGTCATACTACGCGAAAACGATTCACTTCCAGAAAGCAATGCCAAGCTTCACTTTGGTGCTAAAAGGATGCGGCCACAAGCTTATTTACATTCGTAATTTCATTTTAATGGCATACGTAAACAAAAGATATTTTATTATTTCAACTTGCTAACAAAATCACATCTTAATCGTTAGATTTGGCATAAATTATTTTTGTTCTTTCCTTTCTTTGTTTTTTTTTTTACTTCTTTCAATTTGTTAAAGAAACTCTAGAATTTGCCAGCTAGTCCCTCCACGATGGAAAAGTTTTTAGGATCTCTAGGCTTCGCAAATATTACAATAGTTTCATAACATTAAATGAAATGCAAATATCTCATCTATAACATTAATATCTTAAAAGCTAAAGAAAGTGAGATTCGTCTCATCTAAAAATGTTTATAGAAGCCGCTTCTTATGTAAATAATGAAAATGGAAACATTTATGAATATTGAGGCTTTGTAAAAGAAATCTAAAAAAATTTTAAAGAAACCTTAGTCCTCCCGTTAATAATACAGGAGGGGGACTCATTGGCAAATTCTTCGGCACAGCAGGCTTCGTAAAAGCTGGAAAAAAATTCGCGTCACGCATTGTTTTGAAGTAAAACAGTCGTTGAATTGTTAGGCGGAAAAAGCTCAAAACGCGTTTAGTTGTGAGGTGAGAGGAAGAAAATTGAAGAACATTGTACACTGCTAGTCACCAGATGCGAAAGTTGCGAGAGCGAAAGCGTCGAGTCGTCGTGTCGTCGTGTCCGCCTCTAAATCAAGCCTAATGGAAATTTAGTCGTGAAGCACTTTGAAGAGTAAACTTTCAGGCTTATATACCCCTGTGGTTTCTCTTTTCTTATGCACGCAAGAAAATTATTACGAACGGCGACGGAATTAAAGCAACTTCAGCTTCTGATGGATGAGTCGTATCATGCTCCAGCAATAAACAAACACAAGCGATTTGATAAAAAAAAAATATAAGAAATAGTATCCAATTATTCCTAATATAATGAGTTGACGAATAAACAAACGTGACATTGATGTGGATATATACACACACATATATATATATACGAATAACATAAAACGTAAAAGCTAGGGATAATTTTAACAATTTGTTTCATAAAGTATGGTTTATTAAAAAAAAGAGTATAATATCTAGGCACAGACCATCGGTCATTCGCAACATCATCATTTACAAAAAATTTTAATAACCGTTCGTATTTTTAAGCTAATTCTTTTTAATATAAAACACTTTTATAATTCATAAAATCGTTGTTCAATTATAAAATAACAAAAGTCACTTGCCTCCAATTGTATACAATGGTATTTGCAGTGACTAAATAAAATATTACATACTTATTTCTAATTACACAAGGAAAGTTTTCATGCATAATTACTATGAATGTATTGAACAATACATCGTAACAGTTTCGATAATTCAATTTGTAAAAACACTTCAACATTATTTTAAAAAAGTTACTTTTAAAATATTCATAAGAATCTAGATTACAGTAATATAAAAATATAATAAAACACGATTATATAAATACATCAACGTTTCTTTTACATTTAAAATAAATCGATAATAAAATTTTCAATAATTACACTGCTTTAAATATTTTAAATTTAAAATAGCATTTAATTCATCAAAATCTATTTGGCTAATAAAGGCCCTTTGTTGTTCGTCTATCTTAGCTAAATTTAAATTATGAATTTTTACTTCATTGTTATTTGAAGTCTCATACAAATTTTTTACATATCCAATATGAGTTTTTTCACTAGCATTATTATTATTAAAATTTTTTATATCACTCAAACACTTTCTTTTAGGAAAAGCTCCGAACCTCTTTTTTAAAGGCAAATTCGTAAGGGGTATTATCATATGAAATTCTGGTAAATGTAGCGAGGATTTACTGCCAGTATTTAGATTTATTTTTTCTCGTATTATATCAGAATCACAATTCACGCTCAAAACTGTATTTTCTTTAATATCATTTTTGATTTCTCTTATTGACTTTTGTATATTACAACCACTTGAAATATCGTCGATAATAGATTTTTCAGCATTTAAAAGTCCTTTTTTATATAAGGATTGTAAGCGAGGCGATGATCTCAAACCTCTCTTCGCATTACATTGTATCGCTTGATAATTTGATTCAATGACTCCAATTTTCTTTGTTTTCACCTTGATTTTTCTAATTTTATACTTTAACGTATTAATATACCACGAATGCCTCAAATGTCTATGTACTTTATTACAATGTTCATAATATTCCCCCTTTGTCACAAATCTTTTTTCTGTAACAGATAAAATATTTTATCATTATAGATGGAAAAAAAAATTTTTTTTTAGAATATATGTCAAATCAATTTATATTATTCCAAGGAAATTATGTAATTTGAAGAATTGGTATGAGCATGTTGCATACTTAGGTATACTAAATCGGTTGAAAGATGAAATGAAACAATAGGTAAAGCAGTAAAGATGAAGTAGCATTAATTGTATCACAAAATCGTAATAAGAGCCAAGCATTGATGAAGGCGAGTTAACGAGTGATTCGTTAATTATTTATTTATTATTTTAAACTGCTTGCATTACTAAGTTCATCGGGCTATGTTTATTCGATAGAATCCCGAGGCACGTGCGCATTAATCAAGCGATGAATTTACCATCATTCTTGTAAAAATTGCGAATTCTACTTGTTCATTTCGTTTTACTCACTACATATGCAAGTTTTGTATTTATCCAACTCGCTATGAAATCTTCTGAAATGGCGCCCGACGTTGGATTTCCGCTCGCTGATGTAGCCGCATCTAGCACACTCGTAGATTTTGCCTCCGTCATTACACTTCACCTCCCACTTTTTGTTTTCCACCTTCGAGATAGGGGTAGGCTTATTACTGAAAAATAATAAACCTTTTAAAGGAAAACAAGGAATAGGAAACTAATTCAAAATTGAAAAGTGCGCGTCTCTGCCAGAAATAATAAGAATCGCGCGAAAAGGTGATGTAAAGTTTCGACGCAACGATTAATGCAATTCCAAGATTTCAAATGCTAAATTACACGAGTAGAGTAGTCGATCGAGAGGCGTCCACCCGTCCATCAAAGATTGCACAAATAATAAAAAATACGTAAAAACATCTAATCTACATCGTTAATTAATTTATGTTTACCGATACGAGAAGACTTTACCATTAGCTGGCTGGAGTAAACTAATATAAGCGAAGCTCCGATCAGTGCGCGAATTGTACGTTATTCTCTTAATGGATGAAAATTCTTTAAACAAATATGCCTTTAATGCGTAAAATTGAATCGGCAAATGCACTATTCAATAAAATTGAATAAAACAAAAAAAAAAAAAAAAAATAACCCAGATTAAACAAAAACAATCTACACAACTCTGTAGATCGGATGGACGTTTATTGGTAAAGGAACTTCCAAGAATCGGTTAACAACACACTCACATAACTATAAAAGGGGAGTATCGCGAATGGCCAGGATACTCACTCGTGCATGGTAATCTGCCAATCTCGAGAGAAGCTCCTGGGTGAATAAAAGTAACAAAGGCTCGCGTCCTCGGGAGGAAGAAAGACTTGTTGACTAGAAACGTAAGGCTACATCGATGACTTTTGCATTTTGATCAGCAATCATTCGCGAAAGGCAAGGAAACATGGGCTCTGATTAAGTAGAGAAAAGTCGCAGCCGATTCACCGCGTTGTCGGGCGTTGCAAAATCGAAGACGTGCGAAGTGCGTAACGCGTCGTGAGTCGGAAAAAAAAAACAAATCGCGCCACCAAACGAGCAATCAATAGACACTGAGAGAAACCGGGAATACAGGGGTCGAGTTCTGCCTCCTTCCCCTCTGACCGACAAACGATTTTTGCCTTCGTTTTTCGCCGACCAATCTTCGGATAAACTCGTGCACCACTACTATTGCCTTTTTTGAATAATTCGAAACATAAACAAACAATTCCGTTAAACCGATACTCGACTTCTTGACTTCCCTGACCACCGGGGGGTGTTAAAACGAGAAATGTATAATAATGGGCCGCACGAGACTCGGATCATATTACCTTCTCCAAGCAAGCCGCTATCCATTCGTAATCACTCATTTATGTATTATTTCCTAATCTCTCGTGCTCTCGCGTATTTATACTTTTTGCTTGTGCTGTACTGGCGCGTGGCTTATACTTGAACGACTTTTGTTGGCTTAAGATTTCTTGGAATCGCCAACTGCTATCTATTTTTCTCTAAATGCACGTAAAATATTGGAGCAGTGCATTTGTGATTGGTTAACAGTTCTTTTTATATTATGACGGTGTCGTATTATTTGAACTTTTTGAAATATTATTTAGAAATCAAACTTATCCTTACCTACACTTCTTATAATCACAATAACAGTTCATAATTAAGTGAGCTTGGCTTGTTCATTATTCATAATTATTATAAATAACTTTTTCACATGTATTTCAATAATTTTATCACAACAATTGCGCGGAAATGTAACAAATAAATAATACGTTTGTTAAATTTATCACATTGGTTATCACACTTGATCTGTTTTATAAAAATCACAACAGTAAAATCTTACAGACGTACTATATCTAATTGAATTACAGAGAAACTATTATACATTTTTTTTTATTTTATCTTTATTTTCTTTTGATAAAAAACTCTTAAAAATAAATATATCACTATATATAGAAGAATCGTACGTGTGATCTTATAAAATATTCATTTTCGTACTACATATTGGGGTAATAATTATATATATATATATATATATATATATATATATATATATATATATCGTGTAGTTCCCATTTACATTAATACAACTAACTTCAAAATTTCATTATAAATATTTTATGCCTACTCTCTTACATGTAACAATAATTATTACATAATCATACATAATAATAATTTGTACAGAAATACTTAAAATATATAAACAACATCTATCTTAATTTATTTTAATTTATAATTTTACAAATTTTTATAAATTCAAATTTTAATTATACTCTCATTCAATTGTTTAATAATAATCAATAATAGCGAATATTTATAAAATAATATAGTGGACAATATATTTTTATTATAACTAATATTATAATCGATAAAAAATCATATTTATACAAGAAAAATTAACTTTTATAGTCATTTATTCATACATTTTACATAATATACTAAATGAGATTATTTGGATGAATAAAATAATAATATATAAATTATACATACTTATAATTTACAATTTAATTTTTTAATTATAAGGTTTTTTTAACAATTAATTCACCATATTTATGATTAAATTTTGTTTTTTTTTTTTTTTTTTAATAATTTTGATTTAATCAAAATATAACTGCATTTTAAACATTTAAATACATTTTTAACATCAAGGATGTAATATTAATAACATTATTATAATAAATTTAAAAGAAATTACAAAACTCTTAATCAAATTATAAAGATCAATATGTATATATTGAACAGCTGTGATAAATACAATTTAGGAATAATGAACTAAAATGTTAAAATTATATTGCAATCGAATATGAAGTAATTTATGAAATAAAATTACGACAATACTATTTATTATATTTATGCTACTAGATTATCGTATTAAAGTCAAATCTGCGAAAGCATAAACTATATAATATTATTAGGCATGCGCTATATAAACTTTATTTTTTCAATGTTTATTTAAGGAAGCACATTGCAATATCACTACACACTAACTTCACGTGCAAATAGTTTAATGCATGAAGCCAATTATTATTTAAGTGCTATGTAACAAAATAACGATTTTGTAGACACAATCTTATGTCACAACCATATATATACGAACACACAGTTTTACCGTTTTAATTTGCGATTAATTACACAGAATTGAATCGAATTTCATTTCTCATGTTTTTGTAAACACACAACTCAAGCAGAGCCTCAATTGAATTAAATTTATAAAATCTGTAATAATATATATAAAATTATTATTAAAAATAGAAATTATAATTATTAAAATATAATATAAATTTTAAATGGATAATTATGTGTATTTTATTATAAATAAAATAAATCAATATTTTTCAATAGCCAATTTATATAGCCAACATTATTTAATTTAAACATTATTCCAATGAAATGTTTTGAATATGCTTATGGTATATTATATATTTTATTATTAATTCGTAAGTAAAGTATTGTAACTAGAATTAAATTGAGACATAAAGAATTTATTATTCTTTCGGACCTATTAATAACATATCGGAATTTAGCATTACGATTTTCGTTGTGAAACTGTAGTAAGACTTTCTGAGCATTAAATAAATGTGCAGTGATAATATAATAATCGTTGAATTATATTCAATTGCTACGTTATAACGAATTAATATCTTTTTATTATAATTCATTTTTACATTGAAAAAGTTTGCATTAGTTTCCTTTAATTATTAATAACACATATTATGTAGTACAAGTGGAGGTTATTGTTTTATTTATACCGTGTTTTCATATCTAAACAATCAAAACAAAACCGACTTCTAAAGAGAATAGTTCATATATACTATGTAATATTAATATCGATAGAACTGACACTAAAAGCGATTATTTAGAATTCTAACGTATTAATAAGAAGTAAACATTTTGCCAACTAAAATCATTTTAATGCAATTGTAAAAATTGTATGTGTCAATCAATTATACGTGAAATGTACGTATGGAATTGTGAAGGTGACATATAGGAAAAAAACACAGAAAGAAGACGCAAGGAGAAGGAACGAAAGTTCTCAAAGTCAACATTAGGTCTTAAACTCTGGACGCCTAGAAGAATTTGGAAGATTGTCGAAGCAGCGAAGGAACGAATGTTTTCTGGGTAATCTATGAATAAAATTTTGTTCATTACAATTTTTGACGAGACAAAGGCACATGTTTGGCGGTAGTAAAACCGATACGCCATCAGTTCCAATATATTTTTATTAAATATATTTCGTAGAGTAATAAGCAAATATGCGGTATACGTTTTATGGTCCAGATCAAGCTTTTTATTTACATCAGATTTTCATAAATTGTTTTTAATCTCCTTATACTGTACAACATAAAAATAGCTGCACAATTTTTTTTATATATTTTTGTAATATTTTTTTTTTTTAGTCAATAAACATTTTATCACAATCATGATGTTACAGTTATTAGCAATACAAACACTTTTTAACATACGACATATCACAATTATAATGTTCTTAAAAGTAGTTTAATTACATGTTATGATTATCGTATATATAACATAGAGTACATATATAACATTAGTACAGAAATAAGATTCATTAGGAAGTTCAAATTTAATTCGACTCAATTAAATTTAATTAATTTTAGCTAAAATAGCATTTATAATTTTAAAAAGTCAAGAAGCCTTTATTTATAAATCAATAGTTTTTATTTTAAGAAATACTAATATTAAGTTTTCTATATTTTTCATATTATTAAATAATACTCGAAACAATGTTATTTAAATTTATTTATTAACAATTATTCCAAATAAGTTTTAATTAATTAATTATAGTTAATTATTTACCTAAATTTGCAGTAATAGATTCATCGTTTTTATATGATATTTAATTTTGTTAATACGATAATTCTTAGTTTAGTGACGTTAATTTGCGGAATCATTAATTAAAGGGGATTTGAGAATATTTAAATATCAGCTAATGGTTAATAATAAAAAACAGGTAAATATTTCATGTTCTTATCAGTTACATAATGACCCAAATTTTTGTTTTTAGATAATAAACAAACGTGTTACTGGACTTATGAATTACTCTTATATCTAATGAATTCTATATTAATAAAATAATGAAATGTATAAAAACAATTGCAACTTTGTGATGTTTTTTATGTCATTAATAATAATAATCATCTTCGGTAATTATTTTACTCATACATTTACAATCATACGTATTAAGACTATATATTTTTGCAACTGTAATTGTTACTTCATTAATTTTTATTGTAACATTTTCTTTATGGCAAAATGTTTTCTAACATTATATTTACTTTTTATAATTAAATTCATTTTTGTAGTTTTAAATTCATTTATTTTGAAGATACAAGGATTTATATAATTTATTTTTATATAAACATTATTATTATCTTATGAAAAAAATTGAATAAAAACTTGATCATATATTAAGAAAAAAATTCTCATTTTTACATTATTTATAATAGGATATTTGTCAGTTTTTAATTTTATTTTTATTTTGAATTTAAAAATTTTTACAATTTCATTACGAAATTTAAATAAAAATATAATTTTACTTCAATACAATCATTTGTAATAAGTCGATATTAAAGGGAATAAGTACTGAACCCAATTTGTGATTAAGATTTCTGATACATCCACATCACCATTTCACTATGTTAAATTATACATAACTTTTACATCAAAATAATTCCTACTTTATTAAAAAATAATATATAAATATATAAATAATATATAATGTATAAAATATATTAATATATCATAATTAAATATAAAATAATAAAAATTTATAATACAAAATTTAACCACATATTGAATAGCATAATATTTAAT